CCCCCCCCCCCCCCCCCCCCCCCCCCCCCCCCCCCCCCCCCCCCCCCCCCCCCCCCCCCAATGGTAATTGTAATGTCGATATGATGAATCCAGCAGCGTGGTTAGAACGCCGCTGCTATGATGTGATGAATCATAGAACTGAGATCTTAGGTCAAACTGCTTCCACCACAGCATTCCTAACTACTACTAATATAAGTAGGTCTGATCATATCATGGTTGTCCTAACTGCCACATAAGTACCACGTTAATAATGATTCAGGTATTGTATGGTATAGTGTTTCATGTTATCGAAAGCCATCTAAGGCTTTGCATCGACGCGATCTCTTGCTTACTGATCTTGCATAGATTTCATGAGCTGATGCATCTGTGAGCTTTCATTTTCAACGAAAAATGTGTGCGTCTGGTCTCATTCAATTGATATCAAAGCAGGGGCCGGCCACACCATGCCGAAAGGAATGCAAAAGTCTCGGGAAATCTTACGTTACCTGCGAAGTGTCTCGCACGCGTGACGCGTATGGAATATCTACATCGCCAACTTACAAGGGATGGAGAAAGAAGAACTGGGGAAGGGGGAAACCATCAGTCTACGCAGCTCAAATGTCTACGTTCTTGGAAGTTTGATTGGCAATGACAAGATGAGCAAAGCATCATTTGTAGAACCAAATTTGATATTGCCAATAACGTAGAAACAAACGATGGGCCGTAATTATATTGCTGGTATGCTGCATCATTCGTTATGCTCCGGCATTCCTGACATGACTTGATGCCCCAACGCCACTTCTCTTGGTATATTCATTGAACAAGTATCCTACCTTTCGTAGGAATCTCTGGCGTTTTTTCGTGCAACATCAGTCCTTCGAGATGCTCGCCAAGAGGTCCATCCGGCTTGCTGCCTATGCAGCTTTTGCGCCATTGTGCGGAGGTTTCGGCGTGGCTTCGTCCAACGACGGCAATGTCATCGCCAACGCCCTTTTCAACGGTGCCGGGGTCACAGTTCTATCCGGATCGTCGTCCTTTACGGGGGGTGTCAACAGCTCCGGGGTGTTCACCGGCGGCCTCGGCGGCATCGGAAGCGGCGCCATCTTCACGTCCGGCAACGTCGCCGGAGCTCTCCCGGGTGGCAACGTCAACGTGAACAACTACGGGGGCAGTTCTATTTACTGCGGTTCGGGTGCACAGAATTCCGCGGTCCTCTCCGTGAACATCAATCTCAGCGTCGGATACGACGCCGTCCAACTCCAGTTCATCCTGGCATCGGCAGAGTATGTGAACTTTCCATGCCGGTGATGGAACTGGCGGCATGCTGACGCCCCTTCCAGTACGATTAATCCTGATCCCATCGGCATCTATCTGGACAGTCAACTTTACTCCGTAGATACCAGCGGCAACCTCATCACGGCGGCGTCTAGCTTCCTCGCGCAACCGATCGGAATCACGCCGCCGAACAGCGTCACGTCGTACAACATGTCGTCCCCTCCTCTCCTCTTGCCGATTTTCACGACCCCCGGAACACACACCATGGTGTTCGCCATTTGCGACGCAAGCAATGCAAATTTTGATTCCGCCCTCATGATCAGAGCTGCCGGCTGCGCGGGTAACGCCTGTGCTTCGCAGCTCAAGATTAACTATGTCACCGTAACCTCAATCGTTGCCGCCGGACAGGAGTACACGTCGACGGTCAAGGCTTCGGGGACTGTCTCGGGTACTGTTACTATTGGAGCGACAGCTACGACGACATCGACAACCAGTACTTCGTCCAGCTCTTCGTCCAGCTCTTCATCCAGCTCTTCTTCTAGTTCTTCATCCAGCTCTTTATCCAGCTCTTCTTCTAGTTCTTCTTCTAGTTCTTCATCCAGCTCTTCGTCCAGTACTTCTTCTAGCTCTTCATCTAGCTCGTCATCCAGTACTTCTTCACCCTCTTCTTCTAGCTCTTCATCCAGCTCTTCATCCAGCTCTTCGCCTACTTCTTCTCACACTTCTTCGCTCAGTTCTTCATCTGGTACTTCTTCCAGCACCTCCTCTAGCTCTTCTTCCAGCAGTACTTTGATCCCTTCCTCTAGCTCTTCTCTAAGTAGCACTTCCAGCTCTTCGTCTAGCGCTTTTAGTAGTATTTCTTCTTCCACCTCCTCCGTCACTTCTTCAAGCCTTCTTCCGAGCACTTCTTCAAGCATTTACTCAAATCCTTATACCAGCCCCCCTTTTACTTCCTCGAGTCTGTCGACAACTTCACCCTCGGCCACAACTCCTAGATATCTTAATACAACAACTTCCGTCACACCTATTACAACATCGGAACCGTCAAGTGTCGTCACAAATCAAAGCCCAACAAGTTCAATAACATTACCAAGTTCAACCCTATCAACTTCGGGCCTGCTGAGCCCATCAAGTTCACCTCTGGCTACAGCGTCCTCGTCAGTCACACGGAGTTCAACCTCCATGAGCGGCGAACTACCCCCGACCACCACATCGTCTCCCACGACATCCAGTACGCTCGCGCGATCATCATCAGCTAGTGCCTCAGACACAAGCTCTTCGAGATCTCTCACGACGAGCAGCCTTCCAGCCGGAACGTCTCTCACGCCATCTTCGATTCCCACCCTTCCCACGTCATCAGTTACGAGTCAAACCCCGATTTCTAGCCTATCAAGCGGTATACCGCGAAACGAAACATCGCCGGCTAGTTCACCGAGCGCTGTTCCGCCCACTCCCACGTCTACGACCTCTCTCAGCAGTCCACTCAGCTTTCCGAGTAACACAACACAGAGCATGCCCACCAGCCCTCCGACAAGTCTCCCAAGCACAGGACCGACTGATTCATCAAACGGTGTCCCAAGCAGCTCTGTCAATAGTCTGTCCGCCACTCTTCCCAGCATCTCTGTTAGTATCGGGACAAGTAGCTCCCAAGGTGCTAGTTCGCCGGGCTCAACATCGGGCCTGCTTCCTCCCACAAGTACGGCGCAAGCCTCAACCACGAGTCAAGCAGTCTCTCTGCCGACTGTGTTGTCTTCGTCTGCCACCGAAGGAATCTCCACCACCAGTCAGACGGAATCTTCGTCATCCCAGAGCTCTCAGGCTTTGGTCGGAGTTCCAGTTTTCTTAAGTGTGCTGCCTGGACCGGCGGCGCCTCCTGCTACGTCAGGGGCATGATGAACAAGTCGCGTCAGCTCGTTGGTTATCTTGGCTCTAGACCGAATCGTGGGGGCCATAAGATCAAGGACGGCTAACAAATGCAACGCGCCGCGCAATGCCATGCAGCCACTCTTTATTTTTCTTGCTCGCCATACTCAGCGAGTGACCAAGGACGGTAAGGGAGTCCCCGAGCCCCAGGTTGATATCTGGAGCTCGGAGCCTAAGTACATACAGACGCAGGGGAAAAGAAGGCCTACTGTACGTAGTAGGGGGAAAGGGTCACTGGAAGAGAGAGGGGTTGCTGTACAAGATTTGGCAGACATCAAACTGTACAGAAGACGGCCGTTTACATATGTGAAGTAGTCTTGCGTTCTCGAACCTGGGTCTTACCAGACGATCAAGATGGTGTCATCCTGGAAGCAGGCGCTACACTGCAGGACATCCCGCGGCATGATGTATGATATCCGGAAAGCCTCTGTGGCTGCTTCGGACAAGATACCGCCCAGCTCAGGTTCGTAACGATGCGAGCTAAGGTCCACGCATCAGATAAAACCAGCAAAGCGCAACACAGAAAGAGCCCAAGAACCAACTCTTGAACTTGTATGTTCCAAGTTCGAAGAGATCGTCGTCCAATTAGTGCAATCATTAAACCACCCCGAGGTCATATTCCAAATATCACGCGGTCGAGCATCCAAAAGTAAAGAATAAGACAGAAATGAAAAACAGTGACAGGCCTCCAAGACATGCCAGATTTGGCTCAAATCAAAAGGATCTCCTCGACTACCAAGTCGCTACGATTAGCAGCCAAGTCCAGCTTATCCATTATTTGCCCCTCCATCACACCGCCAACATAGCAAGGACTAATGAGTCGGTACGAAGAACGAGTCTTTGGGTCTCGGGAACACATGCAACTTCGGAGGACCACAGGGAGCCTACAGCCGAATAGCACAGCTACCACGTCGCCTTCCTGGATGGTCGTTAAACCTCTGCCAACATAACTCTGCGAGGTCGCAAAGATGCTTGTGAGTTCGTTGTCGGTGGCTTCCTGCGTGCGCAGTATGTATTCTTCCCGGGACCGGTCGAGCATCTCGGGATCTGTCGTCACGATTTCTTCGTATATATCTCATGTTGCCGAAGCCGGCTGTGGCCAGAAACTCATCATCATTGCTAGCTGTCTTCGGACCAACCCGGGAAAAGGCTTTCAGCTCGTGGATGAAACCGAGTTTGAGACGCAGTAGGCTTTTGCGCGCGGCCTCGCCTTCTTCGCCCGCTTGAACGATGTGAAGGCTGGTGTTGTCGAATATCATCGTCTGGAACAGAGCATCAAATGGGGATATGCCGGGTTGGGGGTGGTCCAGAAGCCATCGCTTGAATATTTCCGTGATTTTCTTACGACCCGTGCTCCCTCCAGCCAGAGGCACTGCTTTCTTGACGGTATCAAAGATCACACCTTTTGTGACAAGGACCTCTCGGGCCAAATCGACTCCTGGTATTGATATGGCCAACAGCGAGGGTGGTAGGTCTCGTCCGCTTGCCGCGTCGAAGTAACGCAGGTTACTGGCAGCAAAATATCGAACATCCATGCCGTTTATCCCGCGGAAGTCAGGTGTCCAGGAGGGCAGATTGATGTTCTCCCCGTTCTTGGGGTTCCACGGCCCTGCCATCAGCAGGATGGAGAGGTCGCGATTGTGGCGGATAATGCTTCTCGTGAATTCTTCATACACTTCCCAAGTCGTTTTCCACAAGTCTGGCATCGGCAGCTCATGCGATTCACAAACTCCTAACAGTGCAAAGATCTTGTCTCTCGGGTCGGTAGACTCGAGGCGTCTGGTAGGCTGCAACAAATTCGTGATGTTCTGAGCTTCTTCTGTCGTCATGCAAAACTGTGTGATGCCAAAGAAAGCTTGGAGAAGTTCCGTGATCCACCCGGTTTGCATTTGAAGTCCAGACCAACGTGACGGATTGGCTACGACCTGATCAAGTCGCCGGATGGTCTGCCAGTCGACGCTTCGCGGTCCACAGTGAACGTACGCAGCCTTTGCCAGCACGATTTCCTGGAACACCCACATACGTGTCCATTAAGGTCGTTGTAATAGCTCTGTTAAGGCCTGGGCTTCCGTTTTGTTTTGGACGATCCTCTGAACGATGTCGTCCTCCTTGAGAAGGGTTGTGCAGTCGTCCAACAGGGACATCGCCATTCCCGAAGAGGGAGATTCTTCCCCTAGCCAGATTGTTACGAGCGTAGCTCCGCCATATATCATATTCATTTGCGCGATCTGAACGCCCTTCTCGACCATGTCGTCTTGGTTGATGCAGATGCTGTCGACCCAGATGACAATGTCCTCGTCCTCTTTTCGGAGCCGTTGCAAAGAGAGACACAGATTCTTTCTTGCCATGAACGGTAACCCATTCACAGTAATGCACTCTGTGTCCGGGTCATTGCCCCAGGCGTAGGAAAGAGCAGCATACGGCCTCGATGTGTCGCAAAACTCAACCTCCAGTTTGGCAACGATTGGCGACCAAGTGGACTTCGAGCTTTCCACCCTTAGCAGACGGAATTCGCACTGGCTAATTGGTGAGGTTTCATAGACTAGCAGAAGTCAATATCCCCATCCGTAGAAAGTTTTGTGGATGCTATGACTATACCAGATTGTACGCCATCAATCAACGTTCGCTGCGCAATGGCAGCGCCTCGTTGAGTGACGAAACTAGGGGCTGCAGTTGTCCTCTCCACATGAATGCTTGAATGACAAACATGACTTTGCTCAAATGCCCGTCGACTATACCTAGCCAAGAACAGCTGCTGGTGACTTGGAGGGGAAAAGTGTGGATTGAGCCGGTGATCGTGGCACATATAGCGAACTAAGACCAAGCGCCTCTGAACTGAGTGCCCACGTCTGCCGGACGCAGCACAGTGATAAACGATACTCTTGTAATAGATACAACGACAGACGCTGTAAAGCTCGATGATGCAGTAGCACATATCGAATGCTTGTATTCCACCGAGCTTCCAGCCTCAGGATGGAAAATCTTGTTTTTTTAGTGTACTCGGGCCACGATGGTGCGCTTCGTAAGGCGTTCTGGAGGGCTGACCCGTCGTCAGGTGATGCGTTGTTGCCTGAATCCCAACGCAAATGGTTCCGCCAATGAGATACGGCTCATCGAATAGCTTCGTACTTGGCTCGCAGGCACACTAGATGTCGTACTCACCTAGGTAGCGCCAGAATTCACTAGACTGCTTTATCTCATGAAAGAAACAGAAATCCTCATTTTGACATTTACATGAATATACGACCCCTAGGGAAATACTCGAGACCACTCGTGAGAACGCCTGATTGGTTGAAGAAATGGAATATCGGTTGGGCAGGGTGACTCGCCTCACTTTCATTCACCACGCTTGCACGACCAACGAAGTGGTGGCTCAGGCGATTCATCTGCCGCACGTCATTGCTAAGCCACGGAATGTGCATTTCTGAAATATAAGCAAAGCTTGCTGTGACGAGGCGGTGTTTCTCAATCTCACCCTCTTCTTTCATCAATCCCAACGTTCATCTGGCCGTATCTCATCGACATCATCCTGAACCGTCGATATGGGCGACGCCGTTTCACTAGCAGCTAACATATCTGGGATCATCGGCCTAGGCGATGTCGTCTTCCGGAGAGGCAAGGAGCTGTACGAGCTCTGCAGCAGATGCAAAAATGCCCCGGCGTCGAAAGCCTCTCTCCTCGCAGAGGTATCGGCATCGACGTCGATAGTGGCACAGTCCCGCATCTTCCTCGACGAATATCATAATTCGACCCTATTTCAAGAATCCGGCAGCTCATTATCCGAAATCAGGACCATCCTGACTCTCTTGGGACAGGAATTCAACATACTATGCGACATCATGCGCGAGTCCCAAGCCTCTGCGCTTGACACCTGGTTTGGTCCGCTCACCAGGACCTTTCGATGGGCCGTTGCGGAGCAGACCGTCGCTCAATCCTGTGACCGTCTGCACCGGCTGACCTCTTCGATGATCGCCGCGTTGTCAGTACATGGGAGGTAAGAATCAAGTTCATGGTCACAAGAGTATATTGAGCGCCCCGCTGATACCAAGCAAGACGAAACGACATAGTTGTCAGCCGAGAGCTCAACATCACCAAGGTTGAGGTCATCAAGCTGGTTGAAGCAACTCACGACATTCAACTGGCGATGCAGTCTTTCGCCATTTCTCCGCCGCCGGGCAGACCACTGGGCACCGTCGCCCGAACTGCGCCAAAGAGATTTGGGAGGCAGACCCGCGCTGGAAAAAGGACATCATGCCGCAAGTCTGAACGCCTGCAAATGGTGAATTCGAGACTAGACCATCCCCGCGAGGACTTCCGTGTTACATACAAAGCGGGATGTGCCACAACCTACACGAAGCTACCGCATGATGCGTCCTTGGGCACAACCGAGATAATCGATGTCTTTGAACGCGAAGACAGTAGCATTGTATTTACCAACCCGGTCCAGCGCGATGTCTCAAGGTCTTTGATTCTCATGAGACAAGCGCTGGCAGACATGCTTGATCATGGAATGGCCACAGGAACCATCAGGATACCGAATCACAACACGCATTTCATCAGCGAAATCTTCGACGACGTCCTGGCGCAAGGCCTCCTTTCGTCAGCGGACAGACTTCAGGCAGAATCAGAACAGTATCGGAGTGCCGGCCTTCGATTGAGCGTCGGGCGTGGGTGTTTGCCGTTGTCAGAGGTCATGCCGATCACTTCTCCTTGGTTGATGGAGCACACCGCTATACCAAGAAAGAACCGAATATCACCGGGGCGAGCAACCAGCCAGCCGCCTAGTACGGTGACCGGTCTCAACTACTTCTTCGACTTCCAGAGCATCGGAAGAAAGTCTCCCCTGGGTCAATTGGACGTCCAGCTGGTTCAAGGCGGTTCTGGATGTTGGTCTGAACTCCTTGGCAGCGCGTTCGCTTTTGCTCCAAATCCCGAGTCGTCGCAACCCAAACTGAAGTTCTCGTTTCTCTCCCATCGGCTCATTGGCCAATCGGAGAAATGGGCTTCTATGCTGCCGGCCGTGTCTCTCATGAGAGTGGTCACTGGCGACGAGCCTCCCCGAGTGGTTTTGCAGTATATCAAACTGCGGACGAAAGAGGGGAACATCTTTCGGGAGATACCCGAAGGTTGGGACGAATTTGTGGGGCTCCGAATAAACCCGGCAGAACCACTCCCGAGCAATCACCCGGCTGTTGCGGTCTCGTCACTTTCGAAACAGCTCTCAGATCTGCCTCACGGTGTGGATGTTGTCATTGGCCACGTCGTGGACGATGTTATTAAGTGGGAAGGGGGCAATTCACCAGACAAGTCTGATGAGGATGAATATGTGTCTTCACTGATGTTTTTTATCAGCAGTCTGTATAGCATGAAGTTTCTCCTCGAGGTCCCTTCTCTTTCCCAGGGTTCTGTACTGTTACGTAAAAAACGGTACAAATTCATTACAACAGACGTTACAGTCACTTAGAAGCCTATCAAGAAACTTGGTACTATTTATAGCGAGATATCAAGAAGAGGCGAGAAACAAGGGTTGCTGTAATGTATTGAGCGGTATATTGCAATTGTGAAAGTTTCGAATGGCGGCTTCTCCGGAATTGTAGTCGAAATGTAACGTTGGCCAAGAACCCCTAGCTGGGGCGTCAAGATGTGTAACTAGGTGAAATCGTCCTGCCAAGGCCTTTTCCAGCCTGAAAAGAACAATAAAACATGCTGTCCAAAGGGTTAAGGTACCGTTCTACCTCAGAGTTCGAGATGCCGTCGGAGAGAGACGATGGATAGATGATAGTTCCCACAAGGGCGTCTGTACCCACGATGATTTATTCCTCCGAAAAAATACCTGGGACCGGAATTGGAATGATCTCTTGGGAAGATATCTGCAGATGGCCTTTCGGAAGAATAGAATTCACCCTAATACTTTTGGATCATGTCGGACGTATTAAACCTTTTCTCTGCCAATAATCTCGAGCTCAGGTCAAGTGAGTTGGGACAAAGTTTATTTCTGATCTATATCTTTTCTCTACTCCGCATTCAACTCAAAGTACCGACGGAGCGCAGGCAAGAACTTCTCAGCATGCCTGAATTCGCCCAGCTTAACACGCATCTGGTCGAAAGCCAGCAGCACGACCTGGTCGGCGCCGCTCTCCGTCTGCCTCTTGTCGACGATGGGCACCTTGGCGTAGCGCTGCGAGAAGTGGGTGAGCAGGATGCGGCGGGCGCCCATGCGGTAGCCGACGTCGAGGGCCTCGGACATGGTGGAGTGGTTCTTGGCGACGGCGTCGCCGCGCTTGTCGTCGTCGAAGGTGCTCTCGTGGATGAGCAGCGTGGCGCCCTTGCCGGCCTCGACGAGCTTATCGCTGGGCCGGCAGTCGCCCGAGTAGGCGATCTTCAGGCCCGAGGGCCACGCCAGGACGCCCGCGAAGGAGTCCTTGCAGTGCTTGACGGGGACCATGGCGAACGAGGCGAGGCCGGTGGTCTCGGCCATGTCCGGGTCGTGCTCCGCCAGCGGCTGACCTTTGAGGTCGCGGTCGCGGAATATAACGTGTCGAAAGGCAATATCCTCGATCCGTTCAAACTCGGCCAAATAGTACTTCATGTTCCGTGGGCACACGATGTAGAGTTTGGGCCGGGGCTGCATGTGCGCCGTCGCGTCGAACCATGCGCGGATGAGGCTCGCCGTGCCGAGGTGATGATCCGCGTGCATGTGGCTGATGAAGATGCATCGGAGGGATTGGAGGATACTGGTCAGCTCTTCACGGGGGTAAGCACGTCGTAGCTGGCCTATGGTGTTTTCGCCGCAGTCGAGCAGGTAGTTGCCGTACTGGGGCACGCGGATGAGCGTCGAGGAGACGTTGCGGTATTTGGAGGGCAAGGCCGAGCCGGTGCCCAGAGGAATAATCTCGGCATCTCTGTTGGGAATGTCTTGCTCGAGCTGCTCGATCTCGTCCAAGAACTGACGATCTTTGGTCGCTGCCTTAGCCTCGTCGGCCAGAGCCAGAACCTCCTCCTGCATCTCGGCAACCTCTGCGAAGGTTGGGAACGGTACGACGTCGTCGTTCTTGAGCACAAATTCGGGAGATAGCATGGCGGTCATGCCGCTGCGAGCAGCTTCGACGTTGGGACCAATGAAGGAGAGATCCCGAACTGTGTTGTCGAACTGGAGACGGGGGAAGCGGTCGGGATCGATACGTCGAAGCTTCGCCAGCAGGATGGCATATGAGCTCATTGACAGCATGTCGGGGGAAGCGTCTGGCGCCAAAACGATGTGCTTCACGTCGGGCCTCTCTTGCATGACCTTCTGGATACGCGCATCGTCCACCACAGAACTGCCAAGCAGCCAGTAGAACAAATGCACGTTCTCCATCAGAGTAGCATTGGTCCACTCCGGGCGTGCGAGGAAAGACTCCACGGCTGCCGTGCTTGGGATGTCGAGGACTGCGAAGCCGTTGGGTTTGATGTTCTCTCCCAGGACCATGTCAGGTGTGACCTGGACGCCGTCGGCGCCTTCGACGGTCTGACCGGCAGTCAACAGCTTGAATTTAGGAGGCTTGACGCCGTACTTTTTGGCCGCCACGGGGTTGAACTTGCCCCGACGACCGCGATTCTTGACAACGTAGCAGACAGACATGTCGGATCTCGAAGGCGGGGGCGGGAGTCGGTTTACCCTGGTAGCAGGCCAGGGGAACCTCACGAGCACGTCGATATTGGGGACTTCCCCCGCGTCGCCAGGGAGCGGGCCCTGATACTTGTGGAGGCTTCCGTCTTTCCGAACGAAAATGGTGGCCGGGAGCTCGACGTCGTGAAGCTTGATTTCGTGCAAGGTGTCCAAGCTCCAGTTGGAGTTGAACATGTCCTCGACCACGGCAGCCGTGGCCTGCTGGTTGATCTTGGCTTGATCTTTGGGAGCATCTGCAGGGGCGGGGCGAGCGGTCAGATTGTCATCCTCAGCAGACATGACCTCGTGGCTCCTCTTGCGCGACGTACCAGAGACTGTCGCGTCGGGCGGCCCATCAATGACAGGCATCTTCCAGACTTGTACGGCATCGTCCTCCCAGTCAGGCGTGGTAGGGTCGGGGTTCGCAGGCCGGGGGTCTTCAAACAGCTCGATGGGTCGAATCGGCATGCCCTTTCTGAAGACAAAGGACCTCGCCGCCGCGATGTTGTAGGCGATGTTTCGAGCGCCGTGTATCTCTATGCGGCCCGACCCTTTTTGCTGAATCTTGGCCTTACCGGTCTTTTCTCTCTCTTGGTTCTGCAGCTCGAACTCCCTCCGACTGCCGTCCAGAACATCGGCAACGGTCAGCATCATACCGACGATGCCGCCGGTGACTGCAGACTTTGTCTGGCCGGAGAGGAAGAAGTTTTCCAGCTTTGCCAGGGCATACTTGCGCTGGCCCAGAGTTCTCTGGGTTCCTTCGGAGAGGTGACCGAACAAGTATCGTCGGTGGTCGAAGTGGAGTATCAGGCTGCTGCCCGAGTCCGCCGTCGGCGTCGTGGCGACTTGGATGTAGTTCGTCATGGCTTCCCTGGATTTAGGGGTTGGTTGATACGATGTTGTCGGTATGGGCGGGCCACTCAGGAGGCTGAAGGCCTGCGTCCAGAAGCCGCCTCGTACGGCCTGGTTAGGGCCGTCTGAGATGAGAAAAGCAGTCTCTCCGGGGAAACTCTCGGGATCGCCTTCCAAGACGACGGTTCTGTAGTGGCTAGGGGACGGCGTCCCGACTTGCTTCAACCGGCTTAGGGCACTGTCGTCTGGTCGTTTGGTATCTCTGATCGTGTGAAGTCGGCTTTCATACGATCGTACTGGCCAGCTTGGTGATTTCGGATCCGGCCCCGGGTCTAGATCTTCTGCGAATAAGCGCTTCGCTTCCTCGGACGAGATAACCGTGACACCGGCCGGGGCGTTGCTCGATCGTTTAGGCTTGTCGAAGGCCTTCTTTGGCCGCCGTGATGGCTTCCGCTTGGGATCTTCCGCGGCTTGGTTGTGGAAAGGGCGGGACGTCAACGACACGGAGTTCAGTCGACAAGAAAGTGCTCGTCTCAGGCGCAGGGAGGCATGGCCAGAAGACATGGAGGTGGGAGAAGGAGAGTGGGGAGCGCGAGGCTCAAGGGGGGTAGAAGACAGAAACGGTGGATATCAACACATGAGAGAAGGGCAATTGCATTCGACGTCAAAGCTAACGACGGGCGGCTGTGGAACTAGGTGGCTGACATCGCGACGTCGGCGAATGACTCCCGCCGCTGCTTGACGCAAAAAAATAAAAAAAAACTTCCTGGCGGATCCTTGTCCAGAGATCCGATAAGCTCTTATCGCCTGCACGTGAGATATGCTGAGTCATCACTCAATATGGCATAGGTATTGGAATGTTCATTAATTTGATTTCATCTGCCTTTTCCAAATCCCACCCATTCTTGCGCCGAACACCAATTTCAAACCGATATCCTACTCTGTCATTGGTATTTCCTTGGCGATCTACTCCTGCCTGGCCCTCGGACTCGGCCAGACAGGAAATAGACAGCACTTCCTCAACGAGATGTGAACTCCCCGCCAAATCCGTCATTTTCCAGCCCAGCAATTTCGTCCTTCAACTTCACCCTCAGACCTCACATCAAACCCCAAACTTCCGCGCACCCGAAGTGTACTGCTGATTCCGACTGACCACAACAGCCACCATCTCCCTCGCAGACTGAAGCCGAGCCCGCGACCCCTCGTCCACGCATGGCCGGGAGGGAATCGTCGCCATCGTGACTAACTGCGCCGCCGTTCGGGGGAGTCATAACGCCTGACCCTGCCAGCCCAGCGACGCTTTTGATGACGCCGCAGTTGTGCTCTTGACGCTCTTGGTTGACGTCGTCACGGATCTCTGACTGCTGGCCGGGCCGAGGGGCTGTTGCATGTACCCCAGCTCCGCGTCGGTCGAGGCGCTGCTGCGTTGCGGGAAGTGGCTGCGGACCGAGGCGGCGCCGGGGAGGGTAGCGACGCCGCCGATGAGGAGGAGGGCCGAGGAGGAGGATCTGATTGCGCTCATTGTGGTGGTGTTTGGAGTGTGAGTGAAGAGTGCTTTCAAGTGGAGGTTTCTCTTGCACTCGATCTGACCAAGGGCGTCGAGACCAAGCATACTTATACTCGTGCCGGATTGTTGAGATCGGATTCGCTGCGTGCTCACCGTACAACATCCTCACCAGCTCTCCCTCGACCACGCCGTTCCTGGAAAAAGTGGCCACACGGAGACATTCCAACGGCAGCGCAGCAGTCCCTGCATGGCGAAACAAGACCAATGACGGCCCGCGCAGGCGGCTCCCATCAGGCCACGCACCGTGTCGACGGGAATGGCGGGGGTGGAGCGGTATGGGCGAAGCTGAGAATGCGCATTGGAAGAATGCTGTCTCGAAGTCGCCCCCACGCCATTTTCACCATCTTGATATCGGAGCTGCGGACACGGGAGAACGTTGGTGTCTCGCGACGCGCATCCCAACTGGCCCGATGCTGTTTAAGAAACACGCCAACGATGCTCGAGAAACATACCACGAGTGTCTCGCATACCGCCAGTTAGCAGTCCACCCACCCGCCGGCTGTTGAGACATGTTCATCTCGCGGCCCAACCCCAACAACGCGGGCGCGGTCCGCCAGTGGTCATGTTCCACGACCTCGAACTCAGAATCATGCGTCGAGGATTCTTTGCGGTGAAGACGATGTGCCATTGGTCCAAAATGGATATCGGAATCTCGATCTGCAGATGCCCGTCGATCTCGTAACATCTCGTAACTGGTATTGCACCATTGAACATGCGTTTTCCCCTTGATATGGCGATATGTTGCATTGCATGGGGCGGCAGATGCTGATAGTGTATCTGCTATCGCTTGTCCTGAACTTCGCGTTCGTAGGTCATGCCGCCAAAAGGGGACATTGTGGAAGTGCTCTGTGTAATACTTGACCTCAGTGGCCGTATCAAATATGAAGAAGCATCACGATTGTCCACCTCGGATATTCCCAATCAACATCGCCCTTAACCCTTATCTAATCGGCCCAATCCATCCCGCATCCCCCACCACGCCTCCACATGGGCCAAACCTCCACATCACCACGACCCCTCCGCCCCGACCTCCCTCCCGTCCCGTCACCAGCGCCCTTCCGAGTTCCGAATTCCATCCCCCGAGCGCCCCGGCTCACGGAACGAATGACCTATGGCCAATTTGTCACCCAGTACCACCCGAAGAAGACCAAATCTCAAATCCTCGCAAGTCGGAACGCCGTCTCTTTGTAGTCCGGGGTCTAGTGCGGTTCCTAGATCCGGAAATCACAAAAACGAACCCCAAATTCGGCCCGCCAAGTCAATTGCATCATGGAATACATGCAACCCTGCACCCTCCATTTTACCCCTCTACCCCTCCACATAGGCAATCCCTCCCCCTCCCACCTCCGACTCCACCGTCCGAAGCAAGCTCCCCCGTCTACGGCAAAGCTATCAACCACAGAGGTGACAGCAACCGGTACACTCTCCCGTGAAGAAAGTGGGCATCCTCAAATCCCCATCCCGCAAATTGACTCGCGCCCCGTTTCGCGCCGCGATATATAACACCATACCCTCCCGTCACACAATGCTCACCTCCCGCACCCTCCACCGCCTCACGATCCGTCCACCACCACCAGCAACCTCACTCCTCCACCACAGACCCTTCAAGATGTCAGCCCAACAATCCAAAACCTTCGAAGGCGGCTCCTCCGCCACCCACAACCCCCACCCGGACTTCAAATCCGTCGAGTCCACCCGTCCCCCCTTCGACGCCTCCCTGAACGTCCGCTACACCCAGACCATCGCCCCGGACTGGCAATACGGCTCCGGCGCCAACACCTTACAGTCCCCCTCGGCGTCCTCCGCGGCACACCTCTCCATCGACCCCCACGAGCCCGGCCGCCCCGCCGGCTTCAACTACAAACTCCTCATCTCGGGGATCGTCCCGCGCCCCATCGCCTTCCTCTCCACCCGCTCCGCCGACGGGTCCGTCACCAACCTCGCCCCCTTCAGCTACTTCAACATGGTCAACCACGACCCGCCCCTCTTCGTCGTCGGCTTCGCCGCCTCCCTCGACAAGCCCAAGGACTCGCTGCGGTGTCTGCTGGAGAGCAAGGAGTGCGTGATCAACATCATCTCGGAAGGCTTCCTGGAGGCCGCGAATGCGACGAGCGTGAACGCGCCTTACGGCAAGAGCGAGTGGGAGGTCAGCGGGCTCACGCCGGTCTACGACTGTAAGCACGTCAAGGCGGCTAGAGTAAAAGAGGCGGTGTTTAGTATCGAGGGCACGCTGGACACGTTCAAGGAGTACGAGTCGCGGGCGACGCCGGGGAAGAAGAGCGGCGTGGTGGCGACGATTGAGGGGAGGAATTTCTGGGTGAGGGAGGATGCTGTGAATGAGCAGAGGAATATCATCGATCCCGCGGTAAGTGACGCCAAGATGAGGAGGCAGGATGAAGATGCTAACGTGTCACAGGTGCTTCGCCCGATTAGCAGGCTCGGCGGCATCACGTACGGCCGCGTGACCGAGGTGCTCGAGATCCCGAGGGCGGACTGGGAGAAGAACATTGGCGGCGAGGAGGGGTACGAGAAGATCAAGAACGGGAAGCAGTAGACGCGGCGTGACGGCACGGAACATAGACGAAGAGCATAGACAGAAGCACATGCGGCGTCCCGTCGTGGACATCCGGCGGATATATAGAACTCGAGACGGAAATACACGGACACGGTATATGGGGGGGGGGGGGGGGGGGGGGGGGGGGGGGGGGGGGGGGGGGGGGGGGGGGGGGGGGGGGGGGGGGGGGGGGGGGGGGGGGGGGGGGGGGGGGGGGGGGGGG